CAGTTTACTGAGACATAATCTGAAAATGTTTCATGAAGATTTGAACCGTTGCCATTTAACAACTTAAGACGGATAAATCCACCAAAATTTGTCTTGAAATCTAGCCGTGAAGATCCTGGGTAGAATAGGTCTTCAGCAACCAACGCTTGCCGTAAGAGGCGACTATTTGTTTCGTAAGAGGCGACTAACGGGATCGGGTGGTCAGCCTCGCTGACTTGGTTGATTCCTGTCATCGTAACCAAGTTGCATGGATCGATGCCCATGATGTCAATCACTGGACTGTGGTGTCCAGACTCGATTACATACGGACAGCCGTAATATAGCTGGAATATTGCTGAGTGAGGCGTTAAAGAACAAAAAAGCAAACACATTGTCTTGAAATCATCGACGGGAGAGAGGTAAAACGACGGGACAGAGATGAAGATACTTTCTCCGCAACGACAGTGTTTATTGTTTCACAATTAATAATTAATATATTCACCAAAGCTAACATACAACCCTGTAGTTTTTATCTTGAAATATTAAATGATGTTGCGAAGTGGGTGAAGTAGGGGAATCGTAATCACATACATGATGCTGTGTAATGGAACAGTTACAAAACATACCATTTGAACAATTTCTTTTTATGTATTTCATAATGAGTATATCACTTTGTAAACAAAAACAAACGTGTTTCGTCAGGAGACAAATACAGGATACAATGATTCAAATGGCTTTTTACAGAAATATACAGTTAGCAATGCTTTATTATTTTCAGGGGTGTATTTTAATGGTATTACGTCCTTGCCAGATAAACGTATTTATTAAAATCAGATGTTGATTTTTGATTCACTTAACCAATCGTAGATATAAGCTAAGGCACTCCTGCACCTTCCCACCCAGCTATACAGTTTTCACTCTTCTTTCAGTGTCCTAAGTTGCCGCCTTTGTGTATGTATGGTATGATGTTTGTATAGAATCTTGCATATTTGTCACGCCTCTTATCTTTGACTCTGTGATGCAGAGTTTCCTAGCCATATGTCTTATTTAAAATATACTGATGACTGCCAAGTGTCGGTGAACGCCTAAAACCCACATCACTTCTGGCATGTCCCTCCCACATGAAGCTGACACGCTGTGATATGACACAGATACTATGATATCCAAATCTGTGGAAAGCCTAACTTGCAACTGAACAACTGACGGACTATTTGATCAGTAACAACGCCATTGAAACCAGCGCCCCCTTCCACAAAGCGACCGTAGCGCTACGACATGTTAAGTATGGAAGTTACGATCATTTTGGCGCTACGGTCGTTTTCGTGAATGGACCCCACGGGTGTGCTATTTCTGATATTATCAAGTGTGTGTTGTACAAATTGGCAATTTTCTCCTTTTCGAACGGCTCTGTATGCTAAGGTTGGAAGCAAGGTGACATGGTCAATATTAAGTGATACAATATACTATTTGTTTATGACAAGAGTAAGGTATCCGCCATTCTCGGGCGAAACGTCCTGCCGATTTTCATGATTTTTTGAAATGACAGAAATACGACGCTTACCTCCATATATAGACAATCACGACAATATTTGGAATTCGGACGCCCGAATCCAAGAAAAAAAGACATACCTTGTTCACAAAAACAATTATCTATGTCTAGCATAAGATGCTAAAACAAACGAACCCAGTTGTGACCGACTTGTGGAATAAAGCGATATTAGTGCTGAGATGATCGTAACATCCATACTTTAGCATAAGCCTACGACAATCGTAGCGCTTAGATCCCTTTGTGGAACGGCCTTGACTTGAGAACGCAAGTGACGTCGGCCTTTTTTCACACTCTCGAGTTTTTCATCAGATCGCTGTCACCACAAACGAAAGATACACTGTATATACACAACGTTCGTATGTTTCGTATATCTAGTAATTATTTATAAAGCGAATCTCATGTTGGCAAAACCGACGAAAAGATACTTATATTTCATCACGTGTTTATCAGAGTACATAGATGTGTACATTTCAGACCTGTCAAAATGGACAACGCCAGAGGCTGTGATATGCATGTCTGATAACACCGCTCTGTATTATTTTAGTATTAATCTGACATTGAAAATGTCTACTGCATGAATTCATGGCGAGTCAGTGTTGTTTAAGGGAGTCGTATAAAAAAGTCAACTTGCCAAATTAACCAATTGGATGTCGGTAGAGTGAAATTGACGCGATATGAGTGCCAAGCTGTGTCTATCAATCAACAACCATGCTGTCATGCAATCGTCTCCAAATGTCTGTGAGCTATCATGATTATTTAATCTGTCGTAGAATTACCTCTATCATGAAATTCAAGTGTGCTGTGATAAATATGAAACTATCATATATTTCATTATCTGTGTAAGACAACCATACCTATATTGTTATGTAACAATCACACTTTCATCTTCAGACAGGCTGGTACTGAGACAAAAAGTGTTTGTTACATCACCGCCCAGGAGATACACACTCCAAGCTTTATGCTATATTTAATCTTACATATCTGAACCTTTGGCCTTATGTAAGCTGAACCTTTGTAAACAAAGACGATAATAATCTTTATTGCACACATTTTTGTTTTGCTTCTCCCCATAAACAAAACGTGTTTTCAGAACTTTGGATTCCCATTTGCAAACTGACGCCTGTTTTCGACCATCTAGTGTATGCTACTCAAAAGACCCGATTCTCACATGTTACTGTAATTAATATGTCGGGGCGTTAACACAATAACGTCATATCATATCAGAAAGACTTCATGGATATCATGTTTCCGTAGTTTTTCAAGTGAACAATTGACTTGCATTTGCATGTGTGTGTGACGGATGCTACATGTGGGGCGTTATTATACGCCACCAGCATGCATCATCATTATACATATCATCATAGGCTCTATGTGATATAGTCGGATTCGTACTTATTGCTTTATTTCTTCTGCTGAAAGGGACCGACCATGTGATATTCGGGGGTGGTGGTGGGGGGTTGTCTTGTATCGAGATTAAATTAGCCTGATTTGTAAAGATTAAAACCATGCAACAATGTAATTATTGTGACAGGCAGTTTCTGTTTTTGAAATGCCTGAAGAATAATTTGTTTTCACGAATTTTCAGGAACAAATCCTATGCGCCCCGCACCTCTAGATCTCCCCCCCCAGAATATCCCTTAGTAGCGATTTCCTACGAGTATGGAAATGTTGTTATTTCCAGCTGTTTGTAGAATACTACAGACAAGTACCTTCATCTGCATCTTCACATTTGAGGCTGTTATTGAGTATTCGACATTTTTATCCATATCGCGTGTCATATTTAGAATAAATGTCACAAAATGAAGTATATTGATTTGCGTTATTACCCTTTAAATGATATTTAAAAATACCTTCAGTCAAGTTCATCTCCAAGATCTGTTCTCAACATTAAGAAAACAACATGAATGCCAACGCATATCCAGTGTAGTCAAATCAAAACATCAGAGTACTGATAGCAAACATACAAGATTAATACCATATGACAAACTTTCATGTATACGAGAAGCTGAAATGGATATACTAAGAATAAACAATCCACGATATCTACAATGTTAAAGATAGTCATCGATTCATACCCAAAGACTGCAAGACCTAAGACAACACGTTGGTGAGGTCTGAGAAAACATGTGACATGTTCGACTTCCTTATCGATAACATCAAAATAAAATATTGGGGTAAGATATATAAGCAAGAAGTAGGCATCCGCATGGGTACCAATTGATCTCCTCTTAAAAAGCTTCTTGATGATCTGTTTCTTAGTGCATGAACCGCAATTGCTGCTCGGATTAGCGCAGTCAAAAACAAAGGGAATTTGGACAAAAAGTTTAATTGAAGCTTCAGGTATATCCCTGATCTGATATCGTTCAATAACCATCAAATAGCTACCCGTCCACTGAATTATCAATCTGAACTAGAAATATAAGAGACAAGTAAGGCCGCCTGTTCTTTTTCATAAATAGGCCTATGCATAGAGAGTCAGTGTGACAAAAAATTCTCTACAAAATTGTATGAGTATAGGGAAGATTTCAACTTTCCAATCATCAACATTGCCTTTATGTGGAGTAATATTCCAGCAGCCTGGGCTTGGTGCCTACATTTAACAACTTTTGAGCTCATCTTTTCGCGGACACCCGTTAGCATCACTGTTTGATAGTGATTCTTCAACACACGCTCATGATATAGTATGAATCGTACATTCGATTCTGACATTTCTCATAAATATGGAAAAGGATTGGTCGCTTTTAATTAAAAGTACGTCAAGGGGATAAAACGTGGACTGGTCGGCTCGGAGTCAGTATACAATGTGTGAGTGAGGTCTCAGTGTTGAAGCTGCGGAATGGTATCTCAGAGCCCCCTCCCCCACATCCACACAAACGCCAACACAAACGCCAACACACACACACACACACACACACACACACACACACACACACACACACACACACACACACACACACACACACACACACACACACACACACTGATCTTGAACGCGGCGTTAAGCCCCGTTTCACCTTACCCACCTTGATTCGCTTATCCTTTTTCAATACGCCTTGATTTCGCCAGTAAAAATCAGACCAGCCTCGAGCCTATCTCCCCAATACTCCTCCTCTCATGCCCCGTGTGTACTGACTGGTATATTGATCCAAGACATAGCGAAACAATGCTTTTATTAACAGAGCCTAATGTGTGTGGAATGATCTACAAACCTGAACACAGGTAACAAACAGATATCGAGCCCTTCGTGAACATCAGTCACTGAAGTTGACATGAGCGTCAGGAAGTCATTCCACTGACAGTTGCCCTCCTTCTGAACTTTATTCCTTAAAGGGTGTCCTCATCCTTCAGGTGAAATCGCGGGACCATCTTTGATTGGTCGTCGACTCGTTCACATGGGTTTCCCCGCACTGTTCCCTAGTCACGTGACCAGGTCACCGTCAGCCGCAAGTACTGACAGTAGTTTTAATAAGGGCGTCACGTTCTTTGCATATTGATAACCGGCGCGCAGCTCTCTCGCTGATCAGCTGTTACGGCTTGGTGGTAAATGGAATCTCTAACGCGGCTTCAGTGATAGAGCCCTCTTGTGAGAGCTGGCTGGCCCTCGCTGGGCTACTACAGACATGGGAAATAATCAGTCCATCTCCTGCCTGGTGGACCGACCTCAAGCTCAGCTCAGCACCTACCTGACTCCCAAACAAATCAAACTGGTTCAAGATTCCTGGGATGAAATCAAAGATGACTTACCCACGCTTGGAGTTACCATATTTCTTAAGTGAGTATTTACATTTTTTACAACAAGAATTACAGGTGCTAGAAGTACAAGCACTTATGATAGATTTCCACCTGAGCGTTACATGTGAGCTGGTGTTGAATGCAAATTAATGCTGTGTTTTCATCCAGTTAATGTACCTTTAATTAGGGTATTGTTACAAAGAGTGTGGTTGAGAGGTGCTTGACTGTGTTCTGTCCCTTTCTTAAGAACTTGCTGTGGTGTCCGAGTAAATGTGCTCACAATACGGAAACTGTTTTTTATTATTCAGAAGAAATAAAAGCGACAAAATCCTTTCCATTTTTATAAAACATATCTTATTCAAAAGAAAGACACTTTAAAAATCACAATATATTAAATTCTATAACATGAAGTTAATACAATATTTGAAATTTACACTTACGGTATATTTTCCTAACCCATGTCATGGTACGATAAGTAGGTTTTAGTATCAGCTAGTGTGATAGCCTAGTAGACTGTGTGTTCATTCTGCAGAAAAGCCGGTTCAGTTCCACACAAGTTTGCACCCCTGCTTCCATTCAAGTAATAGGTTTAATATTTAAAGACTCCCACAAAACACAAACCAGCCAATAAAGCTGGTATATGACGTTCAACCTTGGAGAGTAACTGGTGCTTACTGTCGTAAGTGAGTGAGTGAGAAGGCTTTTAACCCGACTTTTGCAATATGTCAGCTGTATCACGACTGGGACGCCATAAACGGGATTCCCTCATGGCATCCAGTAATACCAATTTCCACCAGGTGAAGATGATTCAATTGCACATGCTCTTCAAATAGTCGGTATTGTGCAGTGGACTCTGCTTTTAGAAGAGATTTCGAATGCATAGAAAGGGTTTTGTCACTTTTATTTTATTTTCACATCGAGATTCAAATTTGACCAAAGAAAACCAGAGAACAATTCTTTTCAAACCGTTTCTGAAAATAGGACACATAAATAATCAATTGATGATAATTATGTCCGTCGATGTCAACGTTTCTACCGGGACAACCACGTGCACGACACCAGATAACGAGATAGTGCGAACAACCACGCGAGCTGATCAGCGAGTTTATTGACCTAATGATCATCCAGAATGTTTGCCGACATTGGCAGTAATGTTAGCTGAACGGGTGAAGAAAGCAATTAAGTCATACGTAGTTGCCAGTCTGATCGGTGGTTAAACTGTTGTATAATGTTAGGGGTTTAATCGCATAAATCTAGGTTTATTGTAAGTCTTGCTTCTGTTGTCAGTGTCATGTATTTATTCAGTGTCTGTTGTAGTCGATATTTGTCTCACATAGATGTCACACAAAGGTTCCTTTTTCGGTGTTCTTCTTGAGACGTGTCAGGCTTATAAAAACACATCTAGGCTGTGTGGGGGCGTTGGGTAGCCTCGTTGTTACGGTGTTGGTTCATCACGCTGAAGTTTCAGGTTTGATTCCCAGATGGATATGAAGAAATTACTTGTAATTTGTGAGGACGTGATATAGCTGGAATATTGCTAAAATCTGCCCAAATCCCTTATCATTTATACCCTTGACGCTTGGATATGTTAAAAAGGCACCTTTTTAGATCTTTATTCGAGACACATGTCATAAAAAAGATTTAACTCGTCAGAAAAATAGACCGGAATCGTGTTTGTCATCCGAAATTTAAAGATTACCTCAATGTCATTTGGCAATTTGTCATAATAACAACTTATATTTTTCTCTGTTAACTTATCATCTGCTGCCCATTATTTTCTTTCTGTCTATATTGCGTGTGCACACATGCAGGCTAGATTAGTTTCTGAGTGCTCCTCCTTGGCCATTGACGACTCGCCCATTAAGTAACATGTCTACTTGATGTTTCGAAATGAAGACACCGACAATACTTGTCTCTATCGTTAATTATGTATTTTGTAATATGGCTTTTATTGAATACGCTCATTTAGACAAGGATATTATATTAACTTGAGTGTCTTACATAATGCATAATTCTATGAATACTTGATTTATGTTTTGATGCGCTGGTAAGTGTACCATATAATTATTTAACACAGACTTAAAACATCCCATGACAAACTGATATCCGAATTATGATTGGATGGTAGAGTACTTGTGATTGGGCAGTAGATCTTGTACAAATACATCTTCTCAGAGACCATACATGTACATGGAAGGAGGAATATTAGTCAACCAAAAGCGTAATTGAAACACGGAACCAGTTAGGCAAGTCCTTGAAGTTGAAGATGAGACTTGGTGTCGTCTCTATAGCTCTACTTGAGACTGATTGCTTTACGCTTTATATCAAGTGGCCCGCTCAATCACTTCCGGTTATCAGGTGCGGCATGATGGGAGTTTTGCAGGGAGCACTGATCGAGAATCTTAACTGAAATTTACAATAGAATAGGTGGAATGCAATAAACTTGAGAGATCAAACTGACTCAGTTGGAGACTAGGAGAGATACGTTCGGAACGTGCAATTGGCAATTTGACATTGTAGATTTACGTCTCGATCATCAGACAGTCTGTTGCGATTAGATCACGATTTACAGCTCCCCATTTGGACATTTTACACAAACCCTGGCATGCCAATGAGAGACGAAGCTGCCGATTCAACACTGAAACGTAGATAATTACCTTATGTAATTTTGAAGACATTATCCAATCTAATTTTCATTTCACAGGATGTCAGAATGTAAACTTTGAATAGAAAGCTAAACAATGGGTGTAGACAACTTAAATGGGAGGGTGCATTCAGTATATGTTTGTAGTTTCAAATTTAATGGTAGAGCCTGTGGTTCTTTATCAGGAGATTAATATTATTATTATGTATATCTCTTAATTGTATGTATAATTTTATATATACTTATAACAACGACTAAACAGGAATAAACCATAGAAAATATTAATGAATAGAATTAAATGAGAGTTAAATATATAATTGACCTGTTTATAATTATAGGATAAATAAACAAAATAGAGAGGAACGTATTTCACCAGAGAGGCTTGGTATCTTATACAATCGATTAACTGCCCGTGAATTAGGAGAACTAACCTAACTGTTCCAAATAACAGGGTCCGTATTGTCAAGGTCCTACTATACAAGTATATATGAAGATGAAGATGTATGGGTTTGAATGGGACAATTGTCTTCATCATTTCTAACAACGTTTCAGAGCTACTTCATACCCTTCTTCAGGTAAGATGATGGCCATAAAAAGTGTGTCACGTCGTTTGGTTCTACCAACTTCTAAATGCCAGTCAGATACTTTGTATGTTGACGGAAACGTCAGACTTTCAAGTTGGTCGTGCCCAAAGGCATCTTATCCTAGTCTCACCAACAAAGACGTGTAAAGCTCCTTATTTGATTAAGTGCCATTAGGTTTTCTTTCGGTCCAAACAATTTCAGGATACCAGGGCCAAGTGACCACTGACCATCCACTATATGGCCACTGTACGTAGCCGTTATAAACACGATGCAGCCATTGGGCATGTCTTCGGAAATCCATGTTTACATCGTACATTTACCAAGCGTCAAAAACACGTAGTGGCACTGCACAAACAATAGATAAAATGGTATTAAACGCATCTACCATTAGGAGTCAAATGTAATTTAAAGTATGTGGAATGTCAGATCCTATTTACACCAAGCTTAGCCGTAAGCTGCATAGACTAAGCTGGATCAGACATGTGTTAAAGGCACACTACAGCTCACGTGTTTGGGATTAAGGAGACTTTCACATCTTGAGGCTCACTGAAGCTGAGTCAAAACAAAGCCCTGGCTTTTAGATAATACTGAGCTGTCAGGGTACATTATGATCTAGGTGTGGGTATCTGGAGACGTGTGTTATCTCTAATATGTTACAATCAGGTCTTCAAGTGTGAGTTGTTTTTTCAAACGATGATTAATTTTTAATGTGAATGTACATCTGCATTCAAATATTTTACACAGTAACATTAATGCATCTGATTAAATTCAAGACATAACTAATTTGACCACTTCCACCTGCCTGTGATCGTTGGTCTGCCAGGACAATACCCGTGATCAAACCTTAACAATTCGAAACGTCAGAGAACAACCAGTCTCGATTATCTGCCGAAACAGCTTCCACTGGGCGTAAAAAGGCAAAGTAGTTGTGAAATTTGTATGAATAGATCATTGATAACACCAGGTGTTCGAGAAAAGGGTAGGCATGCGTTACTTTTAGCTTTTAACATAACCTGACCTACCGCGGTAGAACACATTTATCGTTGCAATCCAACTCGTTCATTGTAAACTGCTGCGGTGCGTAAAACATCTTGGAATATATAAAGGCTTGTGTTTTAGGTTGATGCAGTAAAATAAAACTCTTCAGGTCCTCCCGTTCCTCCTGTTTTCGGGGACACAGTCTATGGAGCTGTAATTCGCTGTGCATAGTTGTGTCCCCTAGCCAAGCCAGCCAGAAACCTATGTCCCTATGATGGTGGTTTCGACTCCGGTTCGCCCAAAGTTTCTAGGTTTGCAATATACCCGTTCTCATTGGTTTCATTGAAGTCGTAAACGTCTAAGACCTGCATCACTGCGGGCTTTACTCTCTCATCACACAGAAATACTGTTCAAGGCGGCGTTAAACCAAACTCGCTCTCATTGTGTAATGCACCGCTCTAGGAAGACGTGCCAACTCACTCACTCTCCCTAGTTAACAGCAACAGTCGCTCCGCTGGACACCTTAAAGGAAAATGACATATTCAGGATGTGTTACTTTATTTGCTCCAAAATAATGTCGAAGGATCACGAGAACTACAATCCTGTGTTAGTCGTGGTATAGTTACATGCTGAACATAACACATTTGGAATATAGATTTTTGTGTTCACAATATATCCACCATTTCTTTTAAAAGTATGCTGTATCTGCGTTTAAGATATATACAATAATACTTACGTGAACGTAAACATTGCAGTAAACATTGTTAAGACTCAGAGAATAAGCTTTTCCAACGGTTTGTACAGGGAAGTAAACATACTCGAAACACTTGAAAC